CTGTTTAACTTGTGTCCCGTGGCACAGAGGCCAGCGCAGGCCGTGTGTGCTGCGAATTGCATGGGACAGAGTGACCAGGAACGGGAGAGGTTAAAGGGTGCCCTCAGAGCGTGGGCACCAGGAGTTAGCACAAGAGGATTTTTTTGCTGTGGGTGATGTGTTGAAGGAGTTAGCTGTATTTCAATCTAGGTCACACCTATTTGCTTTGCTCTCAGGACAGAAGTGACTTTTGTATTCTGCGTTATTTTAACCTAGGCAGAGTTCAGCTTGGAGGGAGGGAGTAAAGGGTGGTCTGGGGGAAAGTACAGACCCTTCCCTTACTAGCCTGGCAGGAGCTGCCTCTGGACGCTCATGTCGCTTCTAATAACATGACTTTTAATGCATATTAAGATGGGAAGATGGAGTTGTCTTTGCCTGTTGCCTTGCTGCGTGCCTCCCTCCCTCGGAGCTCAGCTCTGGCCAGCTCGCAACGCTCTGAGCCGCCCCGTTTGCAGCACTGCGTGGCTCCTCTGCTTCCCTGCTTTTAGGAGGCTGGCATGTTTTGGGGGGCTGAGCTCAGCCCCAACCCCTGCTCTTTCCATGCTTTGTGTGAGCTTTAAAACCTTCCTGGTTTGTGTGTTCCTGCAAGAGCTCAATGGAAGCGAAGTGCATGGAAATCCCCTCTCCTGGGCTTGGTGGTTTACAGAGCTTTGCATCCTTGCACCGGAAAGGCCTGGGTGGATTGGGTGCTCTGGGTGGTGAGGCAGGACAGCACGAGGGTCAGGGTGGTGGCTTTGTGAGAATGATCCTTAATAAGCAGGCCCTGAGGCTGGGCCATGCAGGCAGCAGCTCGTGGTGTCCAGGAGCCCCTGTTAAGCTGCTCTACATGTGTGTTGGTGTAACGTGACATCTGCCCGTGACAGCACAGGTCTGGGAAAGACCTTCTGTGTAATACTGCTGTGAGGTGCCCCATACGGCTGTCCCCCAGCACAGAGCCCCTGACAGACCCCCAGGAGCCACTTGCACTTATCTGTCCTTGCAGGCTACAAGGAGTTAACAGATCTGCATCTCTGCCCTCTCTTCTGTCACCTCCCAGGCTGGCCCAGCTCCATGTGCTTTTGTCTGGGGAAAGGTTGACTTTCACCTTGCTCCTGTTTACTCCTGGACTTGTGTACACAGTGCCGGGGAGGGAGATGCAGGAGCGAGCGCTGGGTCTCCGTACCGAAGTTATAAACTTGATAAAGAGCTCCCCGCGCTTCGGGTGCCTGGGTCTGACTCCCTTGGCAGCCTGCTGGCTGTGACCCTCCAGAGCAGTTTTAATGAACTCTGCCTTGGACCAGAGACAATGGCCAGCCGTAAGAGCTAGTTCCATGTCTGGAAAACTGTCTCTGCCCCAAAACATCACTTGTTTTTTTCTGAAAAGGTTTGCAGAGGCTGTGGTGAGGACGTGTGGGCTGGGGCAGAGCTAGTTCTGCTCTTTGCCTGCCAGAACTAGCCGGGGGCTGGAGGCAGCAAGCAAAGCTTCTCTCCAATAAATAGAGGTTCCTGCTTTGAGAAGAGGCTAGTGCTATGCTGGGGCTGTAAGGGAAGGCCCCCGGAGCATGAAGTGGGGTGGGTTAGGGATGGAGCGCAGCAGGGCTGCCAGCCCCTGCCTGGGGTGCCAGGGCTGTCATTCCCGCGCCTGAACTTGGCAAACGGCGTTTGGCTTCATCCAATGGTACAGCCTGTCTCGGGCTCAAACGTGAGACCTCTGTGCCCGGCTTTTCCAGGAATGACGCTCATAGTTCATGTGCCTTACGCGCTGGTTGTCTGGCAGGGAGTAAACTTATTTTTTTTGCCACTGGCAAGCAGGAAAAGCTGCTGCTCCCCAGCATGTTGGTTAATCCCTTTCGGTGCTTACTGGGGATAAAAGCTGCTTAACATGAGGAGGAAATCCTGGAGCTAGACTCCTGCAGAAAAGGTTGATTTCTGTACAGACCTCCTCTAGAGAAGAGAATATTAATAGTAAGGCTCGACTTGGCTGCCAGGACGAGGTGGGGCTGCACAACTGCCCAGTCCGACCTTCCCAGCAAGTCCCTGGCCTGGCTCCAGCGCTGGGATGGCAGGTGGTGGAAAGCAGACTCGGAGCAGCGCTGGTGCCCTCCTCCAGCTGGCAGTTGCAGAAGGTGTTAAGCTGAATGTGGCCAGAGACGGCTTGGCAAGGGCTGACTGTCGTCCTGTGGCAGTCTCCTGGCATTTTTCTCTTGGCCTCAGCCTGGGTGGAAGTGCAGGCACCTTCCGTAGTGCCTCTTCACCTGGTACTGGAGCTGTAGGGAGCACCAAATCCTCTTGGAAAGGGATGTGTTTTTTAAGCTGTGCTCCAGAGGGTTCTTCCTGTGGCACTTGGGAAGCCTGCAGCCCTTGCTTTTAAGCCTGTGAATGCTTGTGTGCCCTCTCGAAGGTGTGTATGTGAGGAATGTGCCTGCTCCAGACCTGCCCTGGGAGCCCGTCACTCCAGTGTTAACTCTTCCCGGGCTGCCCATGCCTTGCTCCCTAGGAGATCATGTCTTGAACCCTGGAGGGTAAGTATGGAGGTGCCCAGCAGCCCTCTAACGTCCCTGGCAGAACAGTCTGTAAAATGAGGCTCACTGCCCACGAGAAAAGCTTCAGGTACAGTTTGAGCAGCTCTCATGGCTTCCAGGAACTTCCCTGTCCTTGCTCAATAGGATGATGAAGAGTGAGTTCAGGGAACGCTCCCATATAATCTTATTTACACTTGTGAGTCAGTAATTTCCTTGTTATGTCCTCTGGCTTGTAAACACTGTCTGTCCTGATTTAAATACGGTTTTCTGATAGCCAAACCTGGTGCATTCCACAGTATGTACTAATCGCGGTGGCCGTCTGCCACCTCGGCTGGGCTGATCTGATAAGGCCAACCTGCTGTCCAGCCACTCACTGGCCTAAACCCGCGTTTTCTTGAGCTACCCTCGTTAGGCCATTAGCTGGCCGTGATTCATAATGAAGCACGACGTGAGTTGGCACAGGGGTGCAGCTTGGCGTAGTGCTCTTGCCAACGCTGATCTGCCCTGGCACAGCAGCCAGGTTAGACGGATCTGCAGCAAACCTGCTCCCCAGCGCTGGTGCCCTGGCTCAGGCAGGCAGGAATTGGGCTCTTCCTGCCCTGTGATGGAACAGCCAGAAGCTCTCATGGGAACAGCTGGCAGTGTGCTGGCAGCAGTTTCCATCGCAGGTCTGGGTTTGGCTGGGTTTTCACATCTTGAAATGAATTTGCCTTCAAGCGAGTGATCCACAATGTTAGGAATGCCTGGTTCCAGGCTGGGTGGGGATTTCTTCCCATATGGCCTTCTTCCCCAGCCCCCTTTCCCATCATCTAGTGCCAAGCTAGGGCAGAGTGGAAACAGGGGGTCGAGCGCGGGAGCTGGCCTCAACATGCCGTGCCCTCTGGGCTGTTCATCTGGTTATCCTCCAGCGGAATTGCTGGGGAAACCAACGATGCCTCAGTCAGCTAACAAAAAACACATCTAGTAGCCACTGCTCCCTCTGCAAAATGAGAAACATCTTGGTCTTGTTTGTGGCAAACCCAGTATGCTAATGGGCAGGGAGATGTGGCTGGAAGCAGGGCTGGGGCTGTGGGCAGAAGAAGCTGGCATGTGGCTTGTGGCCTTAGCTTGTGAGATGGATTCATCAGCTGGAGTCACTGCTGGGCTACAGGATGTGGCAGAGGTGGCCACGTGAGCCCTGGGGGGGGGTTGATCCCAGCTGCTGGGGGTCTTGCTGCTCCCCTGATGAAGCAGCAAGTGCTGGGGCTCAGGCGGTGCCACCCGGCTCTACTGTCCCCGTGAGTCTCTGTTTGTTGCTCCCTGTGAGGCTGTAGGTTGTGGTAAGTCTGTATGTTAAGAAGAGCCCTTGGACGTGCAGGACTTTAAAAGTGCTCTTCTGGGTAGTTAAACCTTCAGGACTTGAGCCCAGGTTCTAGGAGACACCCAGGGAACATGTTCCCAGTCTTCCTGTTGGGGCAGTACAGAAGTTGACAGCTGAGCCCAAAGCTATGGGACCTGTCCATCTGCATTGTGCTTCTCCCTGTAGGGGAAGGGCTCGAGTACCCCACCATGGTAATGGCTTCATGCCTGTGGAAGCATCTGGAGCTGCTGGAATCTGTGGATTGGTGTTGAGCAACCCGAGAGCTCATACCTGCGGTACCCTCGCTGGGGCTGGCCCCGGGCTGTGGGGCAAGGCGAAATAGTTCTGGGGAAGTTACCTCACCTCGGTGAGGGCAGGAGGTTTGGGCCTGTGGCTCCTCGAAGGCTCAAGTGCAAATGAGCTCTGGTGTGTGAACGGCTGTTGTGGCTGAAGAACTGGTTCTCTGGACGGCTGTCCTGCCGTTGGGCTCACACGTGTCTGCAGCCGCGGTCATCCGGCCGTAGGATCACCCGCTTCATCTTAGACTTGTTTGTTTATCTGCCTTTAAAGAGGTGAGGCAGGGGAAGCTCTTCCTTCAGGCAAGTCATTTCTGATAGTGAGCGCTCTTGAACCTCACGATACTGCCCTGCAGTGCAGCTGAACTGACAGACCAGTTTTTAACCCTTGGGTGATCAAATGGGCTTGTTCTCAGTGTAAGAAGCAACGAATTGCCTTGGCGTAAGGCTTCGGTGCTATGCAAAAAAACTGACCTGTAGGTCCTTCCAAATCCCCCCTTAACCACGAACTGAAGGTATCGCTTTCGCTACAAACTCCTGACCAAGATCCTGTTGTGTTATTTTTTCACCCTGTGGGTTCAGGTGAACCTCCTAAATCTGTAGCCCTCAGGAAATTCCCTCACTTCTGTTCTGAGAAATTGTAGGGGAATTCAACTATTTCCAGGCTGACGAAGATAATGTTCTTGGTGGAGAGGAAGTTCAGCATTTCTTGGTTTTCGGATGGAAGCGATGTGCTCAGCACAGACTGAACTCCTGACCTTCTGCTAAATGCTTCGGAGGAGTTGCCTGATACTTAACGCTTCTCCATCTCCGTTTTCAGGTGAGAGAAACGGAGACCATGGACGCCCAGTGGCTCAACTACCCTGCCTCCGGAGATTTGCCGGATGATGAAGACATTGGCGAGTTCAGGCCTCACTTAACTTCTGATGGGTTGGATATAGACGAGACATCTGGGTCTGGAGGTAAGTGGGGAGGGAGGAAATGGATCTCCCTCAGCTGATGCTGTGAAACTTCTTTCAGCAGTGGCCCGTGAGTGATGGGCTAAGTGCAGAGCCAGAGCTCCAGGGGAACCTAGGGTGTCAGGTGGAGATGAGAAAGCTGTGAGTCGCAGACACTCACGGATGAGAACAGTGAAAGTGGCTGTACCGTGATGTTGAATCACTTGGGGAGGACAGATGAGGTCCAGCCAAGCTTGTCTTGCTGCAAGTGAAAAGGCATTGCACTGCCTGGATCTCTTTCCTGTTGAAAGGCAAAAAACTTCAGAGAAATTAAAAAAAAAAAAATCTGTTATTGAGGCAGTGTTAAAAGGCTTAAAGTTGGTGTCTCAGCTGAGACCAAACAAGGTAAAGGACTAACTGGTGTTCAGGTGAACCCTGTGGCATGCAAAGCTCCCTACCCAAACCAGTTCCTGTAGCTCCGTGTCCTCGTCACGTGAACATTGGTTCCCTAAAAGGGAAGGAACAAGTGCTGAAATCGGTGCCTGGCGTGTTGGGGCAGATCTGGTAACAAGAGGATTGGCAAACTACCCTTTAGGGATGGGTGGTGAGAGCGTTGCCCTCCGTTGGCATTGCCTTAGCGAGCCACAGCAGACCCACTTGGCAGGGCGACTCCTGATAATCTGCAGCGGGGGCCAGCGGAAGACCCCTCCCACGCGAGGGGAGCTGGCGGTGAGATCGCACGAGAGTGCGATGTAATCAAAGCCGTTCAATGGGGAAAGTACTGGGAGAGAAGAGGCAATTGTAGTCAGCAGAGGAGTCCTAGTTTGTCCACAGTCACTGGTATTGTGGGAAGTGTCTGAGTTCTGGAAAAATAGTATGTAATGAGAGGAAAACTTAGTGTCCTCTTCTATTTTTTACTTTTTTTTCCCCCTTTGCAGACTACTCTGACTCTGAAGATGCCATATATCTGACCACCATGGATACTCCTGTGGTAGGTATTGCCTTTGTGTGTTAAGCAATGCGTAGCTACCCTGGTTTCTCTGTGAAGCTTTCTTGAATACCCTGCCCCCTGCAAGACGTGACATCAGGATGAATCTACCTGCACGAGCAGGAACAGTGTACTCATAATGCACTAAGCAAACTTTATTTTCCCTGCACACCCTCCTGCGTTCAGTCTAGGTAGGCTGGGTGCTGCTGACTGATGGGTGTGGTTTGTCTATATTCTGTAGATATCTGACAACTATATCCCTGGAGATACTGAGAGAAAGGTAGAAGGCGAGAAGAAAAACACAGTGGTGGACAATGAAATCATTCCAGACAAAGCTGTACCTGTCGAAGAGAACCTGTCCAACAAGATCTCCATGGCGAGCACAGCCAACAGCAGCATCTTCTCAAGAACAGAAGTCCTTACAGGTGATCCTCTACCTCGTCCTGAGAAGTCATTTCTAGTGTAAATTGGAGTGACTTCTATCATTTCCTGTTTCTCTGGGGAGCAGTTCCCTGCTGGCAAGGGGTGTGATAGGTGTTATCTCTGTGACTACCTGTAGCAGGGTCCCTCCTGCCTCCTAGTCCTTAAACAGAAGAGCATTGCCTTGCCTTGTTTTGAGCCTGCCAGCTGACGGTTGGCTTAGGTGCTGAATAAGTCCTGTGGCAGCTGCTCTGCACCCAGATACTCCCTCAGCCAGAGGTGTATCTAGCTATAAATCAGTGATGACATAGGCTTTCATATAAGATGCAGGTGTTTTGATAAACCTTCTAACCTCTGCCCAAGTCCTGCTTTGCCAGGATGCAAATAACCCTTCCAAGGGATTTGAACCTTGTCGACTGTTCTGTATTTACAAGGGCCTGTCACTACAGGCCCTAGGGGTAACGGGTTTAAACTGAAAGAGGGGAGATTTACATTGGATATAGGAAGAAATTCCTCCGGGTGAGGGTGATGTGAGGCACTGGGACAGGTTGC